AATTGATGCCTTTGAGCTGTGGTGCTGGAGAAGAGTATTGAATGTACCATGGACTGCCAAGAAAACAAACAGATTCATCCTAGAGAGGGTTAAACCAAGCTACGAGGCAAGGATTCTGGGGCTTCGTCTGACATACTTTGGGCATATTGCAAGGAGAGACACGTCCTTGGAGAGGGACATCATGCTTGGGAGGGTGGAAGGACAGCACAGGAGGGGAAGACCCTCTATGAGGTGGATTGATGCAGTGACTGGGGTAATCAGGATGGGTGTGTCAGAGGCAATGCGATTGGCACAAGATAGAGCAGGATTTAGGGCTGTTGTACATAGAGTCACTTTGAGTCACAAATGACTCGATGGCACATACCAACAACAACAATCTGGGTATGTGAGTAGGAGGAGCCAGTTTGGAAATGGGCATCATGTTTGGGAAAGGAGAAGGTCAGCAAACCAGATCCTCACTGGGATGGATTGCAACGGTGGGCTTGCAAAGGTGAGATTGTAAGGATGGCACAGCATTTCAATCTTTTGTACATAGGGTCACTATGTTGTTAGGTGTTTCAGGGCGACTACGTATGACTCAGAAGGACCCTATGAACAACACGTCTGAACCCTGTTCTATCTTGTTCCATCCTCGTCATCTCTGACACACTTGAGCCTATTGCCTCTTTGTCCATCCATCTCATTGAGGATGTTCGTTTCTAAGGCTCTATGGCGTGTTCTCAAAAAGTTGCAAATAGAAATACCATTTGAGCCAGCCATTCCACTACTGGGAATATACCCTAAGGAAACCATAACTGCTACACAAGCAGATGTGTGCACACCCATGTTTATTGCAGCTTTGTTCGCAATAGCAAATGATTAGAAGCAACCCAAGTGCCCATCAACAAACGCATGGATAGAGAAGCTCTGGTATATTCACACAATAGAATACTACGCTGGATTGAAAAACAAGGAACTCATGAAATATTATACAAAATGTATGACCCTGGAGGACACTCTGCTGAGTAAAACATCTCAGTCACAAAAGGACAAATACTGCATAGCGCCACTGTTGCAAAACAGGACTGACTTTGGGGTGGGGGGGGAGACTGAGAAAGATGGGTTCAATAATGTATACTGCATTGAAACAGGTGAGAGAGAGAACTGTTTAAAAGGTATATATGATTAGGTATTATTGTCATGACAGGAATCCAGAATGAAGATGGCATAGTGGAGTGCACTTGCGGGGAGGGATTGTAGAACAATGAAAGAATTTTTCTTTTACTTTTCAAAGATAAGAGTGAACTTGAGGGCAAGGGTGGGCAGGAAGGAAAGTGCAACAATGAATGAATGAAAATCCAAAGTCTCTTTAAATTTTCATTTAAGTTATTAATAATAATAAAAATTAAATAAAAGATACCCTCTCCTAGCAACATGCCCCAAGTATGTGAGATGAAATTTCTCCCATCCTTCCATCTAAGGAGCACTCTCTCTGGCTTTATATTTTCCAAGACAATCTGCTTGTTCTTTTGGCTTTCCATGGGTTATTTAGTCCTCTTCAGAACCACAGCTCAGAGGAATCAATTCTTCTGTCATTCCTCTATAGGGAGCTCTGGGAACTGTAGTATGGAATTGTGTGGCCAAATCAAAGGTACATAGTTTGAATCCACCAGCTTCTCCGCAGGAGAAAGATAGGCAGTCTCATCTGTGCCATTTACGACAGCTGGAATCCTACTGGAGTGTCAGCTAAGGGTTCTAACTCAACGATACACAACACCACCTGGGTCACTAGGAGTTGGAGTCAATTCAAGAACACTGGGCAACAATTCTTATAGCTGGAAGCCTTTTCTTCAGTCAAGGTCGGGAGTTGTGGGATGAGACTTAACTGTGTTGTTTTTCTTCTGGTTTTGCCTGGGAGTGTGGGGAGCGGGGAGGATACTAGGCCCTTCTAATGCTTTCAGGTTTTGTTTTTTTATTTCTTTTTTTTTCCTCCAACTAAATGAGACAGTGAATAGGGTTGATAGAAAGAATTGATGCCTTTGCGTTGTGGTGCTGGAGAAGAGTGTTGAATATACCATGGACTGCTAGGAGAACAAACAGATTTGTCCTGGAGAAGGTGAAGTCAGAATGCTCCTTGGAGGCAAGGATTCTGAAGCTTCGTCTGACATACTTTGGGCATGTTGCAAGGAGGTCCTTGGTGAGGGACATCATGTTTGGCAGAGTGGAGGGATGGAGCAGGAGAGGAAGACCTTCGATGAGATGGATCGATTCTGTGATTGGGGTGGTGGGAATGAGTGTGTTTGAGATGGCAAGGTTGGCACAGAATAGAGCGGCGTTTAGGGCTCTTGTACGTAGGGTCGCTATGAGTCGCAAGCTACTCGATGGCACATAAACAACAACGACAAAAAGATATTTTAATGACATAAGAAACCTTGTCCCCACAATGCTCAATGCCTTGACAGATCCTTTGGGACAGAGTGTGGGTTATGATAGGATATCACTTACTCTGGTCTTAACTGCCATAGCATGGACGGTCCCGGTGTGATTCTGGGACCTGACTCACGGTCTCCTTCATCCTTTTATGCATTCTGGTTGACTCATGTTGCACAGGTTTGGAGTGTAGAGATTAGGCCCCAGCAGCCTTCCCGAGTATAAGCATAATGGAAAATTGCTTTTAAACACCGTGTAACAAAAGGTGTAACCAGCCTTTGATTTGCAATGCTTGAATTCTCCTGAATGTCATTTCATCCTTCCCTCCACTGCAGGATGAGGCATGACACTGCACAGCTTCGCTGTTGGTTCTGCGCTTTGTAACATAAGCCTTGTTTTTGTTTTTCTCAAAAGGCGTTTAAACAAAAACCACCTTCAGCTGGTTCCTGAGTTGCTGTTTCTTGGGACGCCAAAGCTCTACAGGCTGTAAGTAGACACAAACAGTTATTGTTGCTTTGGGTAAAGCTTTGTGTTTTATGAAATGTATTTTGGATCTGTTTCCTTGGGTTTTCCTGGAATCCACCAGCAGATTAATGCATAAAAAAAAATTGCTCCCCTCACCTCAGGAAAGACACGGTTGGCTTTGTGGTGGTTATAATTGCGCCTTTCTCGTGGTTAGCTGTTAGTGGTTTATGCGTGTGCTGTTGTAATTGCATCGTGATTGGTTCATGTGATGTTGGTGAGATTTGCCTGCCTTGTGGGAAGTTTCCAGAAAGTTCTGAAGGGAAGATTTGCTACTGGGCTTCTGCTTAACAAGTTGGCCGAGCTTTCTTGTAAATTTGGGGTTTTTAACATTAGCTTTTTTTGGATATTGTTTCAGCCCTTGCGTTTTAGTGTTTATGAGTCTGGTAATACCATTATAAGGTATTAAAAGCAGGCATGAATTTCCTTTTAAATGTTTCTTTTTATGTCAGAATTCCAAATTTTGTGATGCCAGTGCTTCGTAGGTAAGGTCATGTTTCATATCAAATATATCACAGATTGTTAAAACAAGTCACTTTTTGATGGACAGATTGGGAGTACTGGACAGAATCAGCTTTTATTCCTTTATTCATTGACCTAAGAGTTTAGTGGGAATCCACACATTTTGAAGGCTTTTAAAATTATATTTTCTGGCATATAAATGGCTTCATCCAAATGGGAGATTAGCTCAGACATGTCGGGAAAAAGAAATAGCACTTATCAATGTTTATGAATATTCAGGGGGAACTGCTGTCATGGGTCCAGGACATTTTTAAGAGCGGTCCCCACCTGGAGACTGAGAAGTCTCACGTGAGTGTGTTTGTAGGGAAAAGCTTTCCCTGAACTTGACTTTGAAGCAAGACTTTTTTAGTCTCCCAGTTCACTATTGCTGTTAATGTTTTCAGAGGTAGGAGGCTTATGAACCCCTCAGCCCCTTATGGCCAGAATCTCAGCTAGATCCTCCTGATATCTGAGCCCACTGTGAAGAAAACATTCCCAGGAGGGAGAAAGGTCGCCTCCCCCCCTCCCTAGGTCATGAGCCTGCCTTTCCTGATGTTAGTCCTTTCAGGCTCTTCAAAGTCACCTTAGCAATATTTCTACTCCTTGTGTTGTCCCCTGCTGGATAGCTAGCCCGATTAAAATCCAATAAAAAGGGGGAGAAATGACATGAAGAATGCTGGAGATTGACTTTTAAAAGAGGACTCTCTGAGGACCATTTCTACCAAGGAAATAGGATGTAAGTCCTCATAAAGATTATATATGTGTGTACTGTATAAAAATTGATAGCTTAAGATTATATCTGTGTACTGTATATAAATTGATACTTATTTAAATGTTTGTACTCAGTTTCATGGAAAAAAATGCAGCATTGGTTTTAGTATCACTTTGCCTATTTCTGACTCATTGTGGTTGAAGCTTAGCAAAATAATTCATTTTCTATTAATCAAATTAGTAATACCTTTAAAAACCCACAATAAACCAACACATTACACCCCTGCTTGGGTTTCCTGTTTCCATTTATCCTTGCTCTGTTCCACCTTCTGTATTTATTATTTTAGGCAAATGCTGCCTTTTATTTATGTCTCTTCTGGTTGATTCTTATGAGGAATATATTCCTCATGGGTATTGTAGGCTCAAAGTTGTTCTCAGAAGTGAGTTTAAAGGCTGACCAAGGGCTATTGGAGTTTTTAACACTCATATCAGACGAGTCTGCTGCCGGGGATCTTCCCAGAGTACTAAAGAGCAATGCTGTCAGTCTGGAGACTAAGGTGTGCCTAATCCAGACCATAGTCTTTGCAATTATCTGCTATGCATCAGAAAGTTGGACTGTGACTGGGGAACATAGGAGGAGAATTGATGCCTTTGAGTTATGGTGTTGGAGAAGAGTGCTGAGTATAATCTGGACTGCTAGGAGAACAAACAGGTTCATTCTGGAGAGGGTGAAACCAGGCTGTTCCTTGGAGACAAGGATTCTGAATCTTCATCTGACATACTTTGGGCATGTTGCAAAGAGGGATCAGTCTTTGGAGAGGGACATTATGCTTGGGACGATGGAGGGACAACACAAAAGAAGAAGAGCTTTAATGAGATGGATTGCCTCAGTGACTGGAGTAATGAGGGTAGGTGTGTCAGAGACAGCATAGTTGGCTCAGGATAGAGCAAGGTTCAGTGCTGTTGTACATGTAGGGTCACTATGAGTCAAAGTGTCTTGATAGCACATAACAACATCAGACACGTATGTCTGATCTTTTTTTAGGATTTTTGAGTTTGGCTCTGTGTTCTTCTCCCAGGAGGTCCAGGATCTTCTGTTACAGCCCCAATCAGCTACATCCATAGTGAGTGCTGGGCACCTTCTATTTCTTATGTTCTCTAGCTAATGGAATTTTGTTTGGTTCACATGGTTCATGAATACTTTGGATTTATCATTTCCTTGGGATTTTTCTTTTTCTAATTTTCCTTCAGACAGAGGAGACCAATGTCTGATTCAAGATTTAGTCATTAAGAGAATTTAAAAAAAATCAACTTTAAGTTACTAGATTACTGTTGGTGTACATCCATAAAATAATACACAAAAGTTCAGGCAATCCTGGCTTCTATGTAGGTGTATAAATAGAATTTCTGTCGAATGTCCCTCTTCTGAACTGGAAATTGTTAAGCTAAAGAGAAATAAAAGCAGACATGATTCCCATTGCTCCTTAGAGAAAGAAAGATAATTCTGAGTCTAGCAGCACTTGGGTTACTTCTGGGGATTTTCAGGTGGTCACTGCAGCCTTCAATATGCTTTATGTCTCAACATCAAGAATACAAAAATCTTTATCACCTGACCAATAAGCGACATCATGGTAGTTGGAAAAGAAGATTTCAATTGTCAGTGATTTTAATCACTGTGATTTTAAATGGATCCACAATCAGCACCCTTGATACCAGCAGTCAGGCAATCAGGAGACGCATTGTTTTGGGCAAGTCTGCTGTTAGAGACCTCTGCAGATTACCGAGGAGAACGGATGTCAGTTTGAAGACTAAGGTACACCTGTATTTAGGTCATGATCTTGTTAGTTGCGTGCTATGCATCTGAGAGCTGGTAAATGAATAAAGATGACAGCAGTAGACTTGATGCCTTGGGACTGGTGTTGGAAAACAGTACTGAATATCCCATAGCCTGCCAAAAGAACAGGTGAGTGATGGGAAAAGTGCAGCCAGCGTGATCCTTTGAGGCAAGGATGGTGAGGCTCTCTGCCTCTTACACTTTGGACATGTTGCTAAGAGAGGCTCTTCCATGGAGAGGGACATCATACTTAGAAATGTGGAGGATGGGTTGACCGCAGCAATGGACTTGCCCATGTTAGAGATTGTGAGGCTAGCACAGGCTAGGACAGGGTTCAGATCTTCTGTTCACCGTCATTGCTGCGAGTTGTTACTGGATTCATCAGCACCTAACAGCAACAAGAAACTGTTGCCCAAAGCCCCATTGAAAAACTCTGTCCTGACAATTTGCCCTCGTGGACTGTGGCAGGTTGTCAAGGACTGAGGACTCTCTCGCGTGTTTTATAATGATTTTGGAAGAATGAAACAATTGGAAGAAAAGAGTCCTAGCATCTTTAAGAAAGCCATGAAAGAATTGGAATATGAATGTAAGTCTAGGCTTTTGAATTAATCAAGGGCAAAGAAGAAAAGGGCAAGTTACTTAATGCATTTGCCTTTATCAGATGCTCAAAGGAATTCCTCTGAGAAGTGGGAGATAAAGTTGTGTGTTAGGTGAGGTATGGACCAAGAGATGAGAATACTCTGACAGTCCTGATGTTATTATTGGCTGGCTTAGTATTTGATATTGACACTGTGTTTCTGTCCTCGGGCTTTCCCACTGGTACTGGCTGAAGCCTAAAACTCAAGGGGGCAATTTTTATCAGTGTCCTCAAATCAAGTCACTTGTTTAGAGTGGAGGATGTGTTTTACACCTGAATCATGCTCAGTGGCCTGTTAATGGTCTGTTTCCCTGGGAAGGGTGCATTTCTAAGCTGAAGTGTCCCCTTTTTTGTGGTGGTGGTTGCTAATTAAATTAATAGCTGTCGTTGTTGTTGTTTGATGTCATCGAGTTGCAGACGACTCATAACGACCCTATGAAGAGTGGCCTGAGCACTGTTTGTACATAGAGTTTCCGGAGGCAAGCCATTTTGGAAGTGGATGCCGCTCCTGCTTCCAGGCTTGATTTAGTCGGGAAGCTCCAGCCAACCATTAACAACATGGCTGCTTCCTTCCCAGCTGCGTTTGGGCGTAAGTCCGCCTCCTGGTTCAAACCTTAGGCCCAGGCTGGCTAGCGTCACTCCAGAAACAGAGCAAACATGCACGTCAAACACATTGCCGGAAAAGCGGTCGACTCCAAAAGCTTGCCACGATTCCTGTGTTCACACCACCATGCTCGTTCTTTCTGGCAAGGAGAGCTTCTCAAGAGCCTGGGAGGAGCCAGCCAAGCAGGAACAACATAATAGCTATCATTAATTAGGGGTCTTTAATAAATGAAAGAGTGGAAAGCCTGTGAAACTGATGGGCAGGCTGATAGGATTTCTGAGAGTAAAAAAGCAATTTCAGGTTCTCTCTGTGCAAGTGAGACCAACAAAATAAACAGGGGTCCTGTTGTTGTTAGGTGCCGTCGAGTCGTAGACGACTCATAGCGACCCTATGAATGAACGGCCTGAGCACTGTTCGTACATAGAGTTTCCGGAGGCAAGCCATTTCAGAAGCGGATGTCGCTCCTGCTTCCAGGATTGATTTAGTCGGGAAGCTCCAGCCAACACTGTTCACCATGGGTACCCGTTACCACGATTGGCACATCACTGTCATAGTCTTCAGCATCACAGCAACCACGAGTTACCTCTGTACAGCAACACACAGACAAGTGCTATACCACCTCAGGGGTCCTAACAGGTGGAAAAATTGTACATAAGCCTGCATCCCTTTTTAAAAAA